TTCCTGGTCCAAGCTGCGATCATATGCTGCAGGGAGGGGAGTGGTTTTCAAACAGGAGGCAACATTCAGATTTTTGAAGCTGTTCATTTCAGTTCAGGCAAGAGAAGAGGTCGTCTGATTTTTTTTTTTCCAATTGTATTAGGACTACATTTTCTCTTTAAGGAGTGCTCAAATGTGAGACTTTCCAATACTGGGATCAGCAGTCAACCAGTCAAGGAGCCTCCAAGTAGTTTTAGGGTAAGCTCTACACATCCAAGGTTTTTGCACACACTGCAATGGTGCCATTCAAAATAAATGCCGCTGCAAATGCACCACACTGAGCATTGCAACCCATGCATTACCATAATGCAACATTGATAATGGGTCCACAGGGTAGAATCCAAAACTATCAGACCTGTGTTTTGGAGCGGGGCAGTATAAACCAGTGTTTCTCGTCCTTTTTTCAGTCAAGGCACCCTATAAAATTATGGACAGTCCCAAGGCACCCCTATAAAATTATGGACAGTCTTGAGGAACCCCATTCTAATAGCTTTATATAAACGCCGCAACATCCACACATGTAGGACACCCAACATTAGAGGTGATTTATTCTTCCAAAGCAAATACATGTTTGCACACTGGTACCGACTAGTATTCCAAGGTTTCTCTTCTACCTCAGTTTTTCTCCATCAGTGAGCTAATGTGACTCCAGAACTGATGGAGAGGGGTGGTGGAGGGTCAGACTAGGATTCTGTGCAAGCAGCTGACATCCTCCTTATCAACTCATGATGTCATTGGTTGTCAGAATGCTGTCGCCTAGAAGTTTGTAATGGCACACAATGAAAACCTGTGGCTTAGTGTAACTAAAAGGCAGGCTTGTTCCACATGCTGGGTTGTATACAAGTTTTGGACATTTTGCCAATGCACCCCTGAAGAAACCTCAAAGCGCCCCAGGGTGTCAGGGCACTCTGGATGAGAAAGGCTGGTATAAAACACTTAACTTTATGAGAGATACTTTGGTTATAGGTGGGGTCCTAATGCGTTATCTACTAGATACTAAATACCTTGTAAAGTCTACAGACAAAACCTTCATGCCACAATTCACGGCTCTGCTCCTGCCCATCTTGGGGTATATGTGCTCAGATTCTTGCATTTTCCAAGACGTGAAAGAGGAATGGGGAAGAGCGGGAACTCTTAGGGTGTGTGGACCCAAGACGCAAAGTCATTTCGCCAATACACTTCCTGAGAGATACAGAAAACCATTAGGTAGTTTCAAGCAGTGGTCTCCAAACTGTGGCTCAGGCACTGAATGTGGCTCTTTGCTTGCCTTTATCTGGCCCTTGGAGCACCATTCCTCCCACTGATGCCTATGACGGGGCACCATTCCTCCCACTGATTCCAACGACGGGGCACCATTCCTCCCACTGATTCCAACGACGGGGCACCATTCCTCCCACTGATTCCAACGATTCCAACGGGGCACCATTCCTCCCACTGATTCCAACGACGGGGCACCATTCCTCCCACTGATTCCAACGACGGGGCACCATTCCTCCCACTGATTCCAACGACGGGGCACCATTCCTCCCACTGATTCCAACGACGGGGGCACCATTCCTCCCACTGATTCCAACGACGGGGGCACCATTTCCTCCCACTGATTCCAACGACGGGGCACCATTCCTCCCACTGATTCCAACGACGGGGCACCATTCCTCCCACTGATTCCAACGACGGGGCACCATTCCTCCCACTGATTCCAACGACGGGGCACCATTCCTCCCACTGATTCCAACGACGGGGCACCATTCCTCCCACTGATTCCAACGACGGGGCACCATTCCTCCCACTGATTCCAACGACGGGGCACCATTCCTCCCACTGATTCCAACGACGGGGCACCATTCCTCCCACTGATTCCAACGACGGGGCACCATTCCTCCCACTGATTCCAACGACGGGGCACCATTCCTCCCACTGATTCCAACGACGGGGCACCATTCCTCCTACTGATTCCAACGACGGGGCACCATTCCTCCCACTGATTCCAACGACGGGGCACCATTCCTCCCACTGATTCCAACGACGGGGCACCATTCCTCCCACTGATTCCAACGACGGGGCACCATTCCTCCTACTGATTCCAACGACGGGGCACCATTCCTCCTACTGATTCCAACGACGGGGCACCATTCCTCCTACTGATTCCAACGACGGGGCACCATTCCTCCCACTGATTCCAACGATGCGGTATTGCTTACTCCCATTGATGGCAGGGCATTTTCTACTCCTACCAGACACAGTTTGGCCCCCCTAAAGCCTGAAGGACAGTAAACTGGCCCTTTGTTTAGAATGTTTGTAGACCCCCTGATTTAAAGTATAATTATGGACAAAACTATAAAAAAAATATATTATATATAAAACACCCACACACGAATAACAGCAGTTTTTGATTTTCCAAGTCCATCTGTATCAGTATTTGTTAGCCTGTTGATCCTTCCAGCACATGTTATTTTTCCCATTTCCTGTAATAGTGTGACAACACCGTTTGTCCTACACAGTAATTGCACTGTAGTGTTATCACCCCGTGGACAGTTCGTTTTAGATTGAAATGTAGCTTTAATGGAGTAAAAACAAAAATCAATCAATTAAAGCCCAACCCCAGCTAATACTTGTTAAACAGTGTTTTTTTCTGCTTTTTAAACAAAAAGGTTTAAGCCACATAAATACAAGTTGACCACTGTAAGCAATCACCAGCAGTGTTAAATGGTCTGTTCTAAGCCCTGCAATTTCGACTTTTGCTGGGAAACTCAGCTTGTGGAGAATAAAAGGATTTACTGGCAGGGTCAACAGGAAAAAAAAAAACAAAAAAACACACAAAACACTGTTAAAGGGGGACTCAGAAAAGTAAAAAATTGCTGTGCATGCTTTTGGCAGACAATCATATATGTAATTTTTCCCATAGTTACACATTAACCCTCTAGCATCAGTCTTCAAGAGACATTGGAAATAGCATCATTTTTATTTACTATTGGTTGGCCTAAAGAGGTGTAAAAAAAAAAAAAAAAAAAAAAAAAAAAAAAAAAAAAAGTTAGGTGCCTTTGAAATGATCCTTTTCCTACATGCTGTCTAGTCCTTATGACGATAATTACTACTGCTAGAAGGGCGAGACTGTTCAAAGGTCATGCATGCTTACGTAAAAGAAAAAGGAAATACTCTGATGCCTTCAGGTTACAGCCTACCTAGAGCAGCCTGTTAGAGTACACACCCAGCACTGAATCATGTGCACTACTTTGCACTTGCCTACATTGACCTAAACCAGGAAAAAGGTCTAAGCACATCCTATCAAAGGCAACCTGTAGTAGGGAAGTATGGAGGCTTCCATCTCTCCAAGATATAATAGTCCACTGGTTGCCATGCGGATCACAGGGGCTTTAGTACTTGCCAAGTCACCCGGAACAAGCATGTCAACTAGAAGCAGACTTTACTCTCTGGATGTATCTGATCTTCTGCTAGCTAAAGGGCTGTTTTTCAAAGTAGTGAAAGCAGAGAACGTCAGATAGTTAGCATTTTCAGGAGGTGGTGAGCAACAGCAGCTCTAGCTTTTCTCATGTAGGCTTCCTTGAATCTGAGCACCAGCCAATGACGTCCATGGCGAGGTCAGATTTCCAGATGCTAAACATACAATCATGGAAGTCTCCTTTCAAACTATTCAAATGAAGCTGAAGGACCTTCATTGTGTCTATGTAACCATGCCAACTAAAATAGTGTGAAACAGTAGCCATCAAACCACGTGTCTCACCCAGGAGTAATAAATTGATAGATATATTCTTTCCCTGGCAGGAGTGTGGTGGCAGGTAAATGCAACCATAGCGAGATCACTAGGCTAGTCGTCATTCAGGTTTCACTTGTGGCATGGTCAGCGGAACATGAGCCCTAGGGCATGGGTCAAATGCATTTTTCAGCATTTTGAACCCTGGAGAACTACTGTCCCAAGAGGGTAGGAGTGTAGTGAGAGGCAGACAGTCATAAGATTCCTAGGACACCATTCAAGATTTGACTCATGCCATGGTCAGTGGGACATGACTGCTAGGTCATTAAAGACCTTTTCTAATATTAGGCTTGCTTGAATCTGAGCATCAGCCAATGACGTCCATGGTGAGGTCAGATTTGAAGATGTTAAATATACAATCATCATAGAATTCCCCTTTCAAACTATTCAAATGAAGCTGAAGGACCTTCATTGTGTCTATGTAACCATGCCAACTAAAATAGTGTGAAACAGTAGCTATCAAACCACGTGTCTTGCCCAGGTGTAATAAATTGATAGATATAGCTCAGTTAATGCAAGAAGGTCTGGTGAAAGCTGTCAACCAATCAGATTCTCCCATACTGCAAAAAGAATTCTGATGACCACCCATGAAAGGAACACCAAGATGCCAACGTATAAAAAGTGGACCGAGAGTGAAGCTACTGCCTTTGGCAACCAGATTTCATCCTTCTTCCTCTAGGAAAAAGAAAGAAGAATTCTGATTGATGACTCCAGGCAGCAGCCCCCCACTGGCACACGTTTTCTTAAAGCCCCCCTCCCCCCACACGGCTCTTCCCTCAGAGAGCCTCATAAATACAAGAGCACACATACATGACCACTGGAAGAAGAAGTCGACAACTCTGGATGCGAAAATATAAAAAATTTATGCATAGTGCTCAAATACACGATGCAGGGATTAAATCACTAAGTACACAAAAATATATCAACATGATTGGTTCATGAAATGTGATCAGATCATCTACATCTCTTATAAAGCTATTCATTGGCTCCAAACAAAAAACAAAAAAAAACTGTAAACCTGTCTCTACAGTAAACCAGTAGAGGAGGAAGGCTGGGCTGCAGTAAGGGTTAACGTCAAGCCGAAACAATCATCAGCTTTCCTTTCACATGTGATGTGAATTAAACCGCCACTGAAAACGGCCTGAAGGGCTTAGAACAGCTCAATTTCGCAGCCTTCAGGTTTAATCCGTCAGTTAGCGTTATGATCGGTCCTGACCTCGTCATCCCCATGCAGGTGGTTGGAGAGCTCCTGCAGCACGGCCGCTTTGCCAATCTGATCGTTCCGTCTCCTCTCCATGATCAGGTCCTCCAGGCTCTGAAATTCCAGCATGTGGCTTTTCTTTTCAGAGAGCTGGATTTTCAGCCTGTAGGGCTGCTTGCCTATCCTGATCTCACCACCGATCTTAAACTCCCTCTTGCCGTAGCGGCACCAGGCAGCAAAGCACTCAGAGTTCCTCCAGCTGAGCTCCTGGTCTTTGGCCCCCACTTGCTCCATGGCGTTCTGGACCACCATCTCCGGACTGAGGGGTTTGAATTTGTACTGGTCATTGACTATCCTGCCCCTCCTGCCCTGGCTGGCGTCAGTCATGAAGCTATTGGTGATCTCCAGTCTGAATAAGTGCACCACCTGGAAGTCCCCCACATACACCACCCAGTGGGGATACTGGTTCTTGGCTACAAACTCCACAAGGTCCCCAGGCTTGCATTTGTTCAGAAGGTTCTCCGGGGAATAGGTGGTTAGCTGCTCTCCGGAACCAAAGCCTTTCTCGTAGATGCACTCATCCCTGTAGTAAACCGAGCACTCCACCTCGTTGCAGTGGTCGTACTGCAGATCTTCCTGTAGGGTGCCCTGCTTGTCGGGATCCTGCACCGGGTCGTCCAAGTCGTCATCGTCAGCAGAGAAGATGTAGGAAACCCCAATCCTGGGTCCGTCGTCCTTGTCCACCCCTGTGGGGTCCGCAGTGGGGACTTCTTTATAACTTAGGTGGGTCAGTTTTTCTACGTGGTTTCCCATCTCCCTGCAAAACAACAAGCACCCATCAGTACAGCCTCTTCCACCTGTTGCAGCAGCAACTAACCAGTCCTGTGCGGCAAGGTGCTGTGAAACCTGAGCTTGCATAAAGAAAGCATACACCCCAGAGACAGAGGATGGGCTGCTTTCGTTTTCAAGAGCAGCTGCAAGCGTGTTAACCCTGTGTGTGCCACATCAGTTAAAACATAAAAATTGCAACACATAGGGGAAACCAGGTTAACCTAAACCCACCCGCTAGATCTGCTATACCATAAAGAAAGAAAAACCACCACTACTCTACAATTTGATACAATTTGTAAACTAGCAATTTCTTCCAGAAAATAAATTACATAATAACTTGTTCTGTATATTTATCGGACATCTGCATTGTATTAGCAGGTTGTTGACAAAGACAACATTTAAAGATCCCTCTATCGAAATCCTAGGCTTGCAATTCCAGGTCGCACTTACAACATGGCCAGTTGGACATGACCCCCCAGGACATAGGTCATCAAAAACATTTTTTTCAGCAATAAGGACCCTGAACAACCACAGTCCCCAGAGAGAACTCTTCTCTGGTGCGAGTGTGGGGACAGAAAGATGTGGTCATAATGGAGATAGCTAGGCTAGTCATCCAGGTTTCACGTGTGACATGGTCAGTGGGACATGTCCCCTAAGGCATGGGTCATCAAATGCGTGTTACAGAATTATGGATTATGAAAACAAACTCTTTCCCTGGCATGAGTGTGGTGGCAGATAAATGCAACAATAAGATCACTAGCCTAGCCATTCAGGTTTCACTTGTGAAATGGTCAGCAGAACATGACCCCTAGGGCATGGGTCATCAAATGCATTTTGAACCTTGGAGAACTACTGTCCCAAGAGGGTAGGAGTGTAGTGACAGGTAGACAGTCTCATCATAAGATCCCGAGGACACCATTCAAGATTTAACTTGTGTCATGGTCAGTGGGACATGACTACTAGGTCATCTAAGACCTTTTCTAATATTATGGACCTTGGATAACCAATATTCCTAGAGGGATCCCTTCAGTGAGTATAGGGACAGGTAGAAGCAGTCCTTATGAAAACCAAAAGGCTAGACATCCAGGATTGACTTATTACATGATCAGTGGGACATGACCCCTACAGCATGGGTCATCAAATGCATTTTCAGCATTTTGAACCTTGGAGAACTACTGTCCCAAGAGGGTAGGAGTGTAGTGACAGGTAGACAGTGTCATAAGATCCCTAGGACACCATTCAAGATTTAACTCATGTCATGGTCAGTAGGACATGACTGCTAGGTCATCTAAGACCTTTTCTAATATTATGGACCTTGGATAACCAATATTCCTAGAGGAATCCCTTCAGTGAGTATAGGGACAGGTAGAAGCAGTCCTTATGAAAACCAAAAGGCTAGACATCAGGATTCACTTATTACATGATCATTGGGACGTGACCCCTACAGCATGGGTCATCAAATGCATTTTTCAGCATTATGGACCCTGAAGAACTACTGTCCCAAGATGGTATGAGTGTGTGGACAGGTAGATACAGTCATTATAAAATTCCTAGGCTAGCGATCAAGATTTGACATGCACCATGGTCAGTGGGACATGACTGCTTCTGCATGGGTCATCTAAGACCTTTTCCAATACTATGGACCCTGGAGTACTACAGTTCCTAGAGGAATCCCTTAACTGAAAACGAAGACAGGTAGAAGCTGTCCTAATGATCTCCATAGACTAGCCATCCAGGTTTCACATGTAACATGCTTAGTGGAACATGACCCCTAGGGCATGGGAGATCAAATGCATTTTTCAGAATTATGGACCCCGAAACATGGCTGTCCCCAGAGGGATTCCTTCACTGGCATGAGTGTGGGGGAAGGTAAATGTATTAATAACAAGATCGCTAGGCTGGCCATCCAAGTTTCACTTGCAACATGGTCAGTGGCACGTGACTCCTAGAGTATGGGTCATCAAATGCATCTTTCAGCATTATGGACCCTGGAAAACTACAGTCCCCAGATGGTATGAGTGTGTAGTCAAGTAGATACAATCATTATGAGATCCCTAGCCTAGCGATTAAGTTTTCCCTTGCGCCATGGTCAGTGGGACATGACCACCAGTACATGGGTCATCTAAGACTTTTTCCAATATTATGGACTTTCTAAAACTACTGTTCTTAGAGGGGCCCCTGGACAAAGTATGGGGACAGGTAGAAACAGTCCTAATGAGATGCAGCCAGGTTCCACTTGTGACATAATCAGTGCCCCTAGCAGGGGCGAGCTGACCATTTGGAAACTCGGGCACTGCCCGAGGGCCTGGGGTCAGTAGGGGGCCCCATGAGATGCCCCTGGTACCTTTTTCATAGGCTTTTTTGAGTTTGGACAAGGACACAGGGGCCCCATGATCCCCTATTGACCCCATAAGTTGTCAGTCCACCCCTGGCCCCTAGGGAATAGGTCATTGAAGACATTTTTCGGCATTATGGACCCTGGAAAACTAATGTCCCAGTCATGGACTATGGACAGGTAGATGCAGTCATATTGCCAACCTAACCATCCAGGGCTCCTTTGGGTGACCTGTTGGACTTCATCTCTAGGGGTAGGGTCATCAAACAGGCTTTCCACAATTACAGAAAATATTTAGAACCCAGAGAACTGCTGTCCCTGGAGGGTCCCATCACGGAGTATGGAGACAGGTGCAGGCAGTCACATGGAGATTGCTAGGCTAGTCGCCCAGGTTTTCCTTGCAAAATGGCCAGTGGGACTCGATCCCCGGGAACATGGGTCATCGGGGACGTTGCTGAGCGTCATAGAAAAGGTTTTGGACCCGGAGAAGCCTCATCTCCGGAGGGGCCCCACCGGCGAGTGCGGGCACAAGTGGATGCGGTCATGCTGAGCGTTGATTGGAAGTTCAGCAGCTCGGCGTCCGGTCCAGGCAGCGCAGCGGTCGGAAAAATACAAACTTACCAAGGCACGGGCGGGTCGTCTCCGTCGGGCCGGGCGGTGTGCGGGCTCTAGCTGATCTGCGCTCCGGGGACGCACCATGGACGGAGCATGTCGGCTGGACGGTGAGTCCGAACATACAGGGCTGAACACCGGAGCCACGTCTCCGCACTCCTCACCACCGGAGCCACGACTCCGCACCTTCTGGTAGCAGACACTTCACTCCACACACTCATCCCTCCCACCCCGGGCAGCTGAGCCCAGAGGAGGGACGGATTAACCCTGTGCGAGCCTGCCCATAGACTCAGCATAGCCTGCCCATAGACACAGCATAGCCTGCCCATAGACACAGCATAGCCTGCCCATAGACTCAGCATAGCCTGCCCATAGACACAGCATAGCCTGCCCATAGACACAGCATAGCCTGCCCATAGACACAGCCCATAGCCTGCCCATAGACTCAGCATAGCCTGCCCATAGACACAGCATAGCCTGCCCATAGACTCAGCATAGCCTGCCCATAGACACAGCATAGCCTGCCCATAGACACACAGCATAGCCTGCCCATAGACACAGCATAGCCTGCCCATAGACACAGCATAGCCTGCCCATAGACACAGCATAGCCTGCCCATAGACACAGATCTGCCTGCCCATAGACACAGCATAGCCTGCCCATGGACACAGCATAGCCTGCCCATGGACACAGCATAGCATAGCCTGCCCATGGACACAGCATAGCCTGCCCATGGACACAGCATAGCCTGCCCATGGACACAGCATAGCCTGCCCATGGACACAGCATAGCCTGCCCATGGACACAGCATAGCCTGCCCATAGACACAGATCTGCCTGCCCATAGACACAGCATAGCCTGCCCATGGACACAGCATAGCCTGCCCATGGACACAGCATAGCCTACCCATGGACACAGCATAGCCTGCCCATAGACACAGATCTGCCTGCCCATAGACACAGCATAGCCTGCCCATGGACACAGCATAGCCTGCCCATGGACACAGCATAGCCTGCCCATGGACACAGCATAGCCTGCCCATGGACACAGCATAGCCTGCCCATGGACTCAGCATAGCCTGCCCATAGACACAGCATAGCCTGCCCATAGACTCAGCATAGCCTGCCCATAGACGCAGCATAGCCTGCCCATAGACGCAGCATAGCCTGCCCATAGACGCAGCATAGCCTGCCCATAGACTCAGCATAGCCTGCCCATAGACACAGCATAGCCTGCCCATAGACTCAGCATAGCCTGCCCATAGACACAGCATAGCCTGCCCATAGACACAGCATAGCCTGCCCATAGACTCAGCATAGCCTGCCCATAGACACAGCATAGCCTGCCCATAGACACAGCATAGCCTGCCCATAGACACAGCATAGCCTGCCCATAGACACAGCATAGCCTGCCCATAGACACAGATCTGCCTGCCCATAGACACAGCATAGCCTGCCCATAGACACAGATCTGCCTGCCCATAGACACAGATCTGCCTGCCCATAGACACAGATCTGCCTGCCCATAGACACAGATCTGCCTGCCCATAGACACAGATCTGCCTGCCCATAGACACAGCATAGCCTGCCCATAGACACAGCATAGCCTGCCCATAGACACAGCATAGCCTGCCCATAGACAGATCTGCCTGCCCATAGACACAGCATAGCCTTCCCATAGACACAGCATAGCCTGCCCATAGACACAGATCTGCCTGCCCATAGACTCTGCATAGCCTGCCCATAGACACAGCATAGCCTGCCCATAGACACAGCATAGCCTGCCCATAGACACAGCATAGCCTGCCCACAGACACAGCATAGCCTGCCCCATAGATACACAGCATAGCCTGCCCATAGACACAGATCTGCCTGCCCATAGACACAGATCTGCCTGCCCATAGACACAGATCTGCCTGCCCATAGACACAGCATAGCCTGCCCATAGACACAGCATAGCCTGCCCATAGACACAGCATAGCCTGCCCATAGACACCAGATCTGCCTGCCCATAGACACCGATCTGCCTGCCCATA